CCAGTGGTTTTGAGACTCGTACCTCCACAATTTATTTTTTGAATTATTTTGTAAATAAACCTCTTCTGGCGGCTAGGATGTTGACCGAAAAATGAATATTCGGCCGACAAGCGAAGCCTCAAGGGAAAACTTGAAATTTTGAGGACAATCTCCCAGCCAAGGACATCATCAGCCAAGATACACCACAAAACCTGAAAGGGGGTCATTTATTTTATAACCCTCCCATTAATTTTCATCTCGCGCGAAAGCCACTCGTAAAAGGGTCAGTGTTTATCGCATTCAAGACACGTATTTTGATATTGGTAATCACTGGACTCTAACGACTTTGTTTTTCTTCCGCAGAAAATAAGAGAGATGGAAAGGAATGCTTTTAAAGCCAGGAACCGGGACATGTAACTAAACGGCAGATGACAGCGTGGAAAAGCAGTCTGAGCATCATTTATAACTTTTAAGGAAGCGATCTTCGAACTCAGTCGTAAACAATTATCATGGACTTTAAGCATAGATTTTATTGAAAGGCTTTTGACTTGTTTCAGTTTAACGTGTACTCATATCCTTCCTTGACTTCCTTGACTATTTATCATGTGCACACCATGTTTTACATGGGACGCCTGAAGTCCTGACGATAACACTACTACCTTGGTCGAGGTCACCTGTTCCCCTTTTTTTACATCTGCTGGCTTTTGGGAATTTCGTGTCCGGCTTTGATGCATTTAGTCCTCAATCTCAACATACATTTTGAGAATATGGAAGCTACCGTAATGATTCGATTGAGCGCCCGGATGTATATAGCAAGGAGGCTTGGCTGGACAACGCACTAGGATATTATTACCGTGTGTGAATGTAGAGTAGCATAGACAAAATGGTCATAAAGGCATGTTAAAGGCCTTCTTTTTACTATTGCTTAAGTAGTGTTCATTACTGCGAAGATCGCTAACATATTCACGTATTTATCCGCAATTCAAATATATGACTTTAATATATTCACAGCCGTTTATTCACCACTTCACGGGTTTATTTGGAACCAACACAGAGTTCAGCTCCCAGTTGGCTTGTTAGCTCAGTTGGTAGAGCACTGCAACGGTATCGCAGCGGTCATGGGTTCAAATCCCGTACAGGCCTGAATTTTTTTCAGGCCTTCTTTTCACTACTGTTTAAGTAGTGTTCCTTACTGTGAAGATCGCTATCATATTCTCGTCTTTATCCGCAGTTCAAATATATGACTTATATGACTCATATATTCACAACCATAATTTCTACTGTTAGAAAAAAAAACAACAAAAAAACACAACCACTCACAAAAAGACTGCTTAGTTTGTTGTTGTAGATATACCTGTAGATATACCTGACCATTTGAACAATGGTCAGACTTCTTTTCAAAAACGCAAACAGCCACCTTTGTTACCTGTGAGGAAGCAGTGTCAAACAACCTGGTTTTCTTTATGTCCTCGGCGCAATCAGAGTTTAAAAACTCAACGACTGAATAGCGTTAGAGATGCAGTTTATTGGCTGCTCATTCAGAACTCAGAAAAGAATCACTAAGTGACACTAAGGGTTTGTTGCAATATCGTTCAGTTTTGATATCGTCTACGAAACTTTGCTTTCTTCACGTTTTCTCTGTAATTGTGAAAACTCTGGAGGTTGCGGCCTACTCAAATCCTCAACAACGACAGCGCGGTGTGGGGTGACAATAATTCAAACTCCACTTGGTAGATTTAAACTGATTTAATAAGAGATCAAAAGTTCAAAGGTCTAGATCAATCGGTTGCATTTAACATGAGGGGTCATGAAGATGGCGAAAGTCGAAGATCGTTGACCTTAGTAGCCGTGATAGTATAAAAAAATAGTAGTAGCTGTAGGTGCAGATTAAGTTGTAGGTTTGAACTGTAGCACGATAATTAACATAAAGTCTAACTTAGATAAGGCTAAAGAGAAACGGTAGACTCTCAAGAGACATATAACAGCAGTAAAGTAGCAAACTCATAGAGTGAAATGAATAGACGTGATAATTCTCGTGTCAAATAAATTATAATCAAACGATGGTACAAACAACAGTATAGTACTAAAGAAAAGTAACTAAATGAAAATAAAAGGGTAACGATTTAAAAGGAAACCAAGACAATTTGTAAATAAGATCGTTTCGCTATAGTGCCGTAATAATAACACTTAGTTGACTAAACGAGACGTTCTATGACCGAGAAGAGGCTGATGTTTCTGTGACTTAATTAAAACAATGAAAAGACTTACGTACTTTAGTTGACGACTCGCACCGAAAAAATAGCAGATACACTTGAGATAGCGGTAGCTTGGATCCTACTGATCGTAGCAAAGGTAGCGGTGCGGCTTCAACCAACTTCTTTTTTTAAAAGGTACACGCCGCATTTTTATGATACGTGAAGAAAGCTAAGGCGTTGCAAAAAGTAGCTCCTACAATATATAAGAACTATTTCCTTGGCAGCAAAGATTCCAAAGTTGTGTTACAATTCCAAGAAATCTCGATTTCTACCGACACCTTCATTTCAGATCACTAATTAACTACATAACAACAAAATACAAATCAAAAGAAAGTTTGTAGGAAATTAGTCAAAACAAGCGGCTGGTCTGTAACACAAGCCGTATAATTAAATGTGAAACGAGTTAAAAATACAGAAACCGCACTAAACTCCAATACAAATAATTGAAACAGTCATTTTTTTTTCCGACATGTGTCTCCTGGCACTACATAAAATGCACCAGTCCTGTGCAGGTTTCGCCTACACTGTTTTCATTAATTACGTTGTATTTTTTCTCATCGAAGAACCTCTTCGTAAATCCTTGATCATTATGTTTAATTTTCACTCGACTGTTCACTATGCTGTCAACAAACTTGATCAAAATGTACAGGGTCACGAGAAATATCTTGACACAGTATAAACAAAACTCCATAAAAAGCGTATTTTCCTCAGTTCTGGTCTTTTGTCTTCACAGTGTCAAAGTATGTATCGATATATCAATAACACATCTTATTCCTTTGAAGCCGCGATGATCTTGATCGCTTCATCAGATTCTGAGCTTCGAATATTGCACTTTTAGAGTTCAGATTGGTTCACTCAATTCACTGAGGTGCTAACACTTAGACGCAATTGGATGCTTGTCTCGGAAGTATTTTAACTCGTCTCGTATTCTTGGAAATTTCTTAAATTTGAAATTATTGCATTTCGCTTGAATATTCAGAACCGGCTGTCTAACTTACTAAGCGTTGGATTTTGAATCGTATAACAATGCCTCTGTCTTATTTTTCGGTTGGTTTCAATTTGAAAAATAATATTTAAAAGTGGTTAATTTGGCTAAAGCGATAATTCCATTTGCGCTGATTGGATACGTTACCATATGTTGCTTAATGATAAAATGTTTATCAAGCGGTTTGCAGTTTTTCATAATGAATTGTCAGATATTAAGTCAATAACTCAGCTCGTGCAAACTCCATTTTCCATGGATGCCGCAGCGCCATCTGTTCTCACTTGCATGTAAGGTTCTGCGTCGATCATCCCACGACATCCCTTAGTAGGGCAACCCCCCGGGAATCTTAAATTTTGAGGACTGGCTCGTCCAAATTTCCCATAGTACAATCCACAACAAGTCTCCAAGTTGTCTCCGCCAACCTCTGTACCAGATGAGTGGACCAAGTGTTTCGATACAAAGAAATAAAGCTAGGAGGCTTAAATACACAACCTCCTTAGACGATTTTCCAACCTAATCATGTTTCGCGCGATTGTAGTTAGAAAAAGAGATAAAAAAAGATAAAATTCAGAAGAGAACTAAAAATATCTTCGACAAACACTTAGCCCAATCAATCTAAGTTTAACCTCTTTCAAAATGAATTACAAAATGTTAATACCAAAATGGACTTCCCTAATTGTGGAAATGAGCCAGCAATTTTTGTCCAAACAAGGAAAATTTTTCCCAGCACAACAGGACTTATATTTTCAGTGAAAGAAATTCAAGCTCGTTCCACGTTTCGCCACCATGCATTGGCATGCACGTCTTCAGAGAGAATGAGTCATCAACCAATTCTAAATTGCACATCCCATCAACTAAATTAGTGTGACTGCAATTACATCATCTGCAAATATTGGAATAAAAGGCTCGGGAAGAGCTGAACACTCATGACTTGCCCTCTCAACTACTTTGAAGTCGCGGAGATTCACACGAGGAAAGCACTGGCTGTGATTAAGCAATTCAAGGTGCATTTTGTCCGTCACGGGATCCCCGAGATAGTTATCACTGACAATGGCTCAGCATTTGCCAACGAAGCATTTGCGAAGTTCGCCACTGAATGGAAGTTCGAGCACGTCGAGCCCGCGATACCCACAGTCAAATGGGAAAGCGGAAAATGCTGTCAAAACATGTAAAGAACTGTTCAGGAAAGCAAAGGAGGACGAGAAAGATCTCTTACTGGCAATTCTAGATTGGCGAAATACTCCAGAGATAGCATTCGCTGGAGACGCTTTGGTGCTACACACAGTTCTTACCGGAAGATAAACTCGAGGGGCTTGTGTTCTGTTTGTATACGAACAGAATCACGACCATGAATGTAGGCGTCAAATTTCTCACAGGTAAAGACTATCGCCGAAACTTCCTTCTCAATCTGTGCATAGTTTTCTTCCGTATGGGTTAAGGCTCGTGAAGCATACGCCAATGGCTGCCCACCTTGAATAATTTTAGGCACATTCCAAAGGGCATCCTTGTCCAGCGATAACGACCAAACGGTGTGTTAAATGTGGTTAGGAACGATGACTGCTCGTCAAGAGCAACGTGCCAGAACCCACAGGAGGGAATTTCTTAACCAACTGGTCTGCGGACAAAGCAGGCTCGGCAGCGGACAGAAAAGGCGCGGTTAGTGCATCATGCGTATACACGTCACCATCAGAGGTCTGGGGATGATTCAACCAGTCATTGTCCAAGTACTTGATGATTTTCATTCCAAGAAGAGCCTTCCTGCCAAGTATAGGTCTGAATCTTTAGCTGTCCACCAGATTGCAATCAAGAAGACGTGTGAAATCTCCACGCCAAACTCTAAGACGAACTTTACCAAGAAAAGGAATCGAAGTCCCACCATACGAAATAATTGCCGTGCTTACTGGGGCCACATTAAATAAGTTTAAGTCTCTAGTCGCTTTCTTATACAGATGCAAAGGGACCACGTTACATTGCGCTCCAGTGTCCGGCTGAAAACGAAGAAAATTTCCTGACTCCAATTTTAATGTTACAAGCTGCGAATCATCTAGAGTCTCTCCACGCCAAAAGCTTCGTCTGATAATTCATCCCCCGATTAATGAACACGACTGCCTCGCTGCGACGGTTTAGGCGCTGATCCAAAAACACACGTTCGCGAAATTGCTTTTCTTGTTACACTTTGACGCTTTTTTCCGAATGCTGGACAGTTTTCACGCTTTGTCACATCATGCATGCAGCCACAAAAATCCCACGTTTTCACTCGGGAGTCAGCGCCTCTAGTGAATCGACCACGCCTCTTTTCCCCTCATTTAGGCTTTTTAGAAAAGGCATTTACATCGTTCGGATCTGTATCCCTAATGTTGGCACCTCCAACAACTTTCATATGTTGAATCATTATATCGTGCGCCGGAAAATTTCATCATTTTTCTGCAGTGACAAATTCTTTTTGCGAAGCAGTCTCTCTCGTACCTTTGAATCCTGAATTCCGAAAACAATCTTGTCCCGTAAAATTTGATCTACCGTAATAGTTTCAAATTCGCATCGATCGGCTAACTGTCGTAGGGTTCTCCGATAATGGTTATACGATGCTCCCACTTCTTGCATTCTCGAGTAAAACTATTATCTTTCAAAAGAAACACTCTTGAGCGGCTGGTAATAAGCAGCAAAACTCTCTAACAGCGGCTCATTCTGTCACAGTTATCATCGCCAACCGTAAACGTCGAGAGAACTGTTCTAGCCTCGGCTCCGATCATCGGAAGCGACGTCGCAATTTATATGATCTCGAGTTCCTGATGCAATTTCATAGCTACCGAACAAGTTTTCCATGCTTGCTCAAACTCATTCCAATTTTCTGCCGCGTTTTAATAATGGATATCAAGCGGTGCTGGTGGTGATAAAGCAAACAAGGCTCTACTTCTCGCGCTCGAAATATCCGAAGACGAACTCTAGGACTGCTCAGCTTCTCCGCCTCCCGCCATTTCAGCAAAAATAGTTTACGCAGGTTCGGTGGCCTGACACCATGTAACGAACGGTATAGTATAATATTCACGTTATAACAAGCAGAATCCATTAACTGTTTTAATGCAATAGTTGATCAACCTTAATCCGCATAAAAAGAGAAGCCTCGTCTCTGCTCTGTTGTGTGGAAAAGCACTTAAAAGTGCTACGTCTCATTTGATATCCGTAAGCAAATACACTTCCAAACAGTCTTAAGAATGTGGGTTATTGTGATAGTTATGAGCCAGAAATCCTTGGTGTTGATTTTTGAATGCACGACGGACAAACACTCTTGTGAATCTTTTGATCAGGAATACTTTTTGAGCAAAACTGCTTTTGAAAAATTTAGTTTATCTCTTTCAATATACTGAAATATCGTCGGAATTAAACTCTTGACGCACGAGTTTTTCTCATTTGCTGCTCGAAGATGAATAACGCTTGCTATTCAAAGTGGCCAATCAGCGCCCGCGAAAAGCACTATTCTCTTGTGTGGTATATAGTAATACTAATTATTATTAAATCATTAGTTTTCGATACTCATCAGGGGGCCGGAGATAGTTGCAAGACGCGGGAATGGGATCGTAATTTGTATCCTTCAGTCGCTTATAGGGTTAGGCATTCTACGTTCAGCCTTCGCCAAGTAAAACTGTTAGCTTTCGTTTTCTCTTAATTCATTATTTCTTTTATGTGTTATCATGTTGGCACTTTGTTTCAGTTTAATGTGTACTCAATATCCTTCCGTTATAAAATTACTTTTTATCATGTGCACACCATGTTTTACATAGGACGCCCGAAGTCCCGACGATGGTACTACTACCTTGGTCGAAGTCACCCGTTCTCCTTTTTCACAACTTCCAGCTTTTGGGGATTTCGTGTCCGGCTTTGATGCATTTAGCCTTCCCCAATCTCAACATACATTTTGAGAATATGGAAGCTACCGTAATGATTCGATTTAACGCCCGGATATATATAGCAAGGTGGCTTGGCTGGACAACGCACTAGGATATCATTACTGTGTGTGACTGTAGAGTAGCAGAGGCAAAATGTTCATAAAAGGCATGTTAAATGTGTATTAGCCCTCGTTAGGCATACTCTTGATCTCATACTCAATTCGGAATTGCGGTCGATTTTTTTTCACCTTCGAAGGCCTTTTACCATATTAATACTTGGATTCAGCCGATGTGTCATTTGACAAGGTCTTACGTGTCATATTGCGCACTTGAGCCGAGTGTCATTTTAATGGCTGGCGCGCCCTTTTTCTCATTTGAGTCGTGTGCTAGTTTACTCAAAAGCGTGCCATTTTACATGTTGCTGTTCTCGACAAACTTAATGAGTGATTGAAATTTACAAGCGACGAGGAAACTTGAGATATCAGCAAACATATTTCTGAACATCATTGACTTACAACCACAATATTGACTGCGACTCTGCGCAATGCTTAACCTAGAGCGCCAACTGCTTTCAACGAATGATTTTGGAAAGCTGGCTTACTAAATTAGAACGGACTCCCCTCAACAGGTGTTAACCACCACCGGTACCATACACACGACTCATTCACGATATTAACATTACGGACGAACAGTGCGACATAACTTAACGACCTAACTTTACCGACGGATCCAGACCGACCAATCACGACCGACCTACGCCACTTGAGTCTTACAGTCAATAACATCACGGCAAAACTGACCAATCAGTTTATACGAGGGGACTTAGAACATTCGACTGACAAGAACTATTCACTTGACTCGGATGAAGACTTCCGCTCAGGTTGATGAAACCGGGTCAGTCACTTCTGACGACAACAGTCCTTCTCAGGACTACGCTCACCCGGACGATCAAAATACACTATTAAACTTAGTATTGTTCGTCTTGACACACGCCTTTGTTTTTATCGTGCCATGTAAACAAAGGAAAGATTTTAATAAGTCGTGCTATCGGACATGCACGCCGCTCAGAAGCCGCCGTGTCATTTGGCACCAAAGTGCCTATCGTGTCATTTCACCGTTCCCTTGCGTTCACCTTTAAAAACGTTTTCCCATGTAGAATCACATTTGATACTTTTTACAAAATTTCACTTATTAAAGTATTTCTTTGGGCTAGAAAAGAAATCATTGAGTTTGAAAAGGTTTCAGACGTCAATGAGGTTTAGGTATGTGGGGGAGGGGTAAATGCTCGACACTCCTATCAAAAAGACATCCGTAAATGAGCAACTTCCGACGGCTTCTTATCTGTTAATGTTAATTGCAATTTTAAGCACACGAAAGCAAAGCCATGTTCGTTTTCTGTCATAAATTTTTAATTTAGGTTAGCAGCTTCAAAAAGGGATAATTCGCTAGTTGATGATACAACTTAAATTACTTTATACTTACAGTTCTTTTAACTCTTTCAAGTTGTTGAATATTCCCTTCGGTAACATCTTCAGTTCGTTTCCATAGGCTGCTCTACAAAGACGATAAAAACCACAAATTATAGCCCAGCAAAGTTTTGATTATTATGCTACTGATCCTTCTTTGCCTTATTCTACTGAAACATGTTTCAAATTTTTCACTGTTGTGTTAATTACAGAGCTTTGTCCTGGTTTGTGAAACCAAAAAAAAAACCTTAGTCTTAATTTTTCCAATTCATCACGTGACCTGTGTTAATCTTTGCCATCCTTGACCTTTCTGGTTTTTTCTGGCCTCTTTAGTTTTTTGCTGCATTCATAAAGTACTGTATTATTTTATGGTTTCCTTCTTCTACAGACAGTACCCTTGAGCAGTTTCGACTAACCAAAGAAATAAAATATTTGCTGAAGTGCTTTTCACTATCTGTTTATCTAAAGAAAATTGGCATGGGGAGTCACGATAAGTGTCAGCGCAGTGCCATTACCTTTTCAATAAATGTATTGTTACACTGCCTAAAGTATCATAATGTCGCTGGTTGTTGTTTACCGCTGGCTCTAAACGACGACGGCAGCGACGAAGACGTAGTTATTTGTAAATTGCTCATTAGGTTATCCATTAAAATTTGAAATGTTTATGATAACTTTGGGGAAAAGAAACAACGTAAACGCCAGAAGTATTAGTACTAGAAGTATCTGCCGATCATTGTGGCAGCATGGTAAACTAAAAATTCTTTTATTCAGATTGTTTCCAGGCCTCTTCAAAATAACTGTTCCTCAGAGAGAGAACAAAATAGCGTATTGTTGTTAACAAATTCTTGGCCCCAGCAACTCCTACATAGACCAAACTGTCCCAATCAACTTAGCAATCATATCAATAAATAACAAAATCGAAAGGAGCCCTTACATAGTAAATTGCAAATAAGTCAATATATTTTCAAATAAAAGTGTGCGAGACCAGAAACTTTACCAAATAATTTCTTCTCTTAGAAAATAAAATAATAATAATAAAAAAAAACACAAAATTTCGAAAGACTTTAAGGTCCTGAATATTCCTGGATGAAGACTGCTTAGTTTGTTGTTGTAGATGTACCTGTGATTTGATTGGAACGATTGTCAAAATCGCAAATAGCGCTCTTTGTTTTCTGTTATGAAGCAATCTTAAAAAGAAACCCGACTTTCCAATCATAGTCTAAAACCCCAACGCTTTGGTAGCATCATAAATTGCAGCACATTTGGAGCTTAGAAGTAGGTAAAGTAAAACTTCATTTAGACAGGATAGCCCTTTCAGCTCGAAAGCTGATATCCATAGGGGCCATGTATCGAAGAACAATTATGATTACAATATATTAAAACTTAATTGAGAGCTATTGACCGTCAATACCGAGAATCCGCTGACAATTGAAAATTTCGTAATTCAGTTTATTTTTCCCAAAGGATCCTTTTCATGAACTCTTTTCTGATGAACTTTTTTTTCGAGGAACCTTTAATCCACTGTTCGAACCTTTGATCTACTGTTCTGCCTTGTTCTGCCTTGTAGAATAGTTATGAATGTCAGCATGTGCGAATGTTTTATTAGCAAGGCGTTCCTTAAAAAAAAAAAACAAAAAAAAAATTTCGGCGTTGCTAAAAAAAAATGAGATTTCATTCAGCTGATTCGTGAATTTTACAGTTCATTGTCGCTAACTGAACCCTGAAATGGTAAACGTAATTGCGCGACAGTGTCCATTTTTGACCTTACTGAAATGAAACTTTACCCTTTATAATTATTATAAACGAGCAATCGCATGTTTCATCGTTCAAACATTAGGATCGATATAACTAATGCTTTCAGAGGTTGAAGAAGTCGCTGCACGGCTCGAGAAATTTCTGTACCTTCTGAAAACTACTGTAATATTAATCTTTCATTTTGTTCGGCCCTATGCGATTACCTTTACAGAGTGGGACTATAAATATTATGCAAGGTAAATTTTTAGTTTAACACACTTCGCCAACATAACAAATGAATTTTAGCTGCACGTTTGCGAATCGAAACAAAAACTTAATCACTGCAATTATGGAGAGTTTTTGGTAAGTTACTATTTCAAATATTTACGCCACACGAGGCTGTACTCCGCCCTCTTTCACAATCTGATCTAAGCTGTATGTTGGATTATTTGGCAGCGTACAGCTATTGCGATCACACAGCTTTCGGAATGATGTAATAAGTTTACATCTCTCTTTT